GGTGAATCGAGATCTGTGGATCCGACCAAACAAATGCTCCAGAGTTCCACAGTTCATGAAACCATGTATGTTGCTAGCGCCATCTTTCGGCCAGACATGGCAAAAGAATGATTACAAGACAATTTACTAAATACTATAAACTATTATAAAAACTATAACCTTCATAAAAATACGTACTTTACTATAGGCTTTCCATGATGAAGGAAACAGCGTATGAATCAAAGAAAATGTCATGGTCATATATATATAGCTCCTCTGGTACCAGGGGTAGAATTTAATTTTTGAAACCACTCACAATTTTTTGCTAGTGGGTCAAATTTCAACTAGCAAAATCCGAAACACTCGCATTTTTAATATAATTATGTTTGTAGTGTATAATATGCTTTAATTAACACTTTAATTAAAAATGTTATCTTTTTATAGTTACCGGTACTTTATAAATGTTATATAATGTTGAGACGACTTTGTTAAACCAGGCTACAAAGCGTGAAGATAGAATACTCTCTGTATCGGCCGATCGCCGAGGTTTATAATCCTTACTCAGTTTGTAGACAGTATGTGTTTATTATTTTGCAGAAATTAGTTGGTCTAGTTCCATTATGACTTATGTTGACAACTTGTTACTTAAAATGCCTGGATATGGGATGTTGGATTTTGATAGTCATGCATGACAACAGATTATATGTCACTCGCACAAAAATGCAAGTTGTTATATTTTTTACTCGCAATTTTGGAAATCCACTTGCATTTTGCGAATGTGCGAGCGTTAATTTCGAACCCTGGGTACAGAAGTTGGAATTTGGAAGCAGGAACCTGGGACTATTTTAAGGAACATATGTGTTGCTAATGCTACTCTCTTGAAATGCGTAGAGAAAAAAAAATTGCTCTAAAACTCGAATGAGAATAATATTGTGCCAAAATATTGAAATATTGCTCCATTATACTTGACGTGATGCGGCCATGATACCGAGGCGCGCAGAGAATTGACACTTTGTGTCTTCCAATCACAGCCTACGCCGCACCAGAGTTTTATATTTTTAAATATGGGACCCATTAGACAACCAAATCGCCGATCTAAGGAACTATAGGGCACGCTGCTAGGCTAGAACAGTTTCCTACGATAGAGTTTGGCACAAATACCAATATAACACGCTGTTTAGCGCACTGCGCTACGTCCTTCTGTTGCATTTTCGCATTTCCGTAATCAGAATAAGCCCCACCTTCTTTGTTGATGGGCATGAATGGGGCGTCAACGACGTGACCCGTTACTGCGTGTAGGTGTTTGGCGAGACTGTTTGCTTTT